TAACTAAGCCGGATGCTTATATTTTACCTTACGTTGATAGAATTTTAAGTTTGTTGAGAGATGCAAAATATATATCCAGTGTCGATCTAAGACACAGTTTTTGGCAAATTCCCTTAGATTCAGAATCTTCGGAAAAATGTAGTTTTTCAGTACCTGGTAGAGGTACATTTTCTTTTGTAGTTTTACCTTTTGGTTTGAGTAATGCCGCACAGACGCAGCAGCGCCTAATGGATGGCATTTTTGGTGCTGAGTTTGAACCTTCTATCTTTTGCTACCTTGACGATATTATTATTATTTCTAAAACTTTTGAGGAACACGTTCATTTATTGGAAAAGGTTAAAAATAAACTTAAAGATGCAAATCTAACTATTAACGTAGAGAAGTGTCAATTTTTTAGAAATTCCTTGAATTATCTAGGCTTCACCGTTGATTCTCGTGGTTTAAGAACTAACCCTGATAAGGTTACAGCCATGGTTAATTTTCCTAGGCCTAAAACGGCCACCGAAATCAAGAGATTTGTAGACGTCATAAACGTTTTGTTCCTCAGTTTTCAACTATAATGTCACCAATCAACGACCTTATTAAGGGTAAACGCAAGCAGCAAAAGATAGAATGGAATGATCAAGCTGAGAAAGCTTTCATAGATATAAAAACTGCCTTAGTATCTGCGCCAATTTTGACCAGTCCCGATTTTTCCCTTCCTTTCGAAGTCCAGACTGATGCGTCTTTGACCGGTGTGGGCGGCGTTTTAACTCAAACTGTAGGTGATGACGAGAAGGTTATAGCCTACTGTAGTAGGAGTCTTTCTAGAACTGAACGTAATTATAGCGAGCGAGAACTCTTGGGAGTGCTTTTTGCCCTAGATAAATTTAGATGTTATTTGGAGGCCTGTCCTCAAAAATTTAAGGTCATAACTGACTGTTATTCCTTGCTGTGGCTTAACAATATTAAGGAACCTACTGGCAAGTTAGCTCGTTGGGCACTACGACTGCGTCAACATAACTTTGAGTTAGTTCACCGAAAAGGGAAGCTAAATGTCGTACCTGATGCTTTATCGCGCGCTTCCCCGGATTTAAAAATTTCCTTACCTTTAAACAATGCCGAGTTGTGTGTTGTTGCAGAGAGTGATAACCAGCAGAATTCTGATCCTTGGTATCAGAAGATGTTACGTTTAGTGACTGAGCGTCCCGAAGAGCATGTCCAATGGTTGATCAGAGACGGTAAATTGTACCACCATATTAATAAAGATTTGCCTTTGTCTACGAATGTTTCTAACTGGAAGCAGGTAGTCCATTTTAACGACAGGAGATCTGTCATGGAAAAGTTTCACTCAGAACCTACTTCAGCACATTTTGGTTATTTTAAAACTTTATGTAAGATTCAAGAGCAGTTTTACTGGCCTAAAATGCGTGAGTCTGTCTTGTGGTTTGTTAGACGTTGTGAGACGTGTCAAAGTCAGAAAATGCCAAACGTCAGTAGGCATGGTCTTATGGGTTCTGAAAAGCGAGTGAAATTCCCCTGGCAGTGTGTCTGTGTAGATATCATGGGCCCTTTTCCGCGTTCAAATCAGGGAAATATGTTTTTGCTCGTTGTTTCCGACCATTTCACTAAATATGTGTTGTTGAAACCATTAAGACAGGCTACCGCTAAGGCAATTTGTAAGTTTATGGAGGAGGAAGTGTTTCTGGTTTATGGGGTACCCTCACAGATTGTGACAATGGAGTGCAATTTACTAGTTCTCTTTTCAAAGACCTGATCAAGGAATACAAAGTTCAGAAGATTTTGTTTAACGCTCGGTATCATCCCTCTCCGAATACGGTCGAGCGTGTCAATCGCGTCATAGGCACTGCGATACGTAGTTTTATTAAAGATAAAAATGGCCATAAGTTTTGGGACAAGGAGATACCAAAAATAGGGCATGCTATTCGGGTCGCGGTTCACGAAGTTACTGGTTTTAGCCCAGTTTATTTGAATTTTGGACGTAACGTGCCGATTTCTGGTGATTACTACGGAGTACACCAGAGTTCTATCGCTTTGAACACGGATCCTTCAGATTCTTTAAACTATGGGAATGAACTTAAAAAGTTGCCCCTACTTTATCAGACAATACAGTCTAAGTTGAATGAAGCCTACAAGCGGAATGTCAAACAATATAATTTGCGTAAACGCGATGTTGTTTTCTCCGTTGGTGAGAAGGTATGGAAACGAAATTATGTGCTTTCGGATAAAAGTAAAGACTTTTCCGCAAAACTGGCACCCAGATATGTACTATGTACCGTAATTCGAAAGGTCTCCAAACTTGTTTATGAACTCAAGTCCATAAATGGGACAAATGCTGGGAACTACCACGTTAAAGACTTAAAGAGGTATTACGGGTCGAACTCCAGTATAATTTCCGAACTGGGGTAAGGTACCTAGTCATATAGATTTTCAAATCCTACTTTCACCTTGTAAATAGTGTATATTTTAATTTTAGTTTAGTTTAGTTCCACTGCAGTGGAGATCATGAATAGGTTAGTAAAGTACAGTTAAGGGGGGTTTTAGATTAGGTTTTAGATTAGGTTTTAGATTAAGTTAGCTTTCGTACTTAAAAATAAAATTTAGTTGGGAATGAAATTTTATTTTTCCGAGAAGGGGTGTGTTGTAGCATGCACTTTTTACCTGCTACGTTTGATAGTCAAGGATAACGTTTAAATCTAAATTTTTATTCAATTTCACAAATTTAAATATATATTATTATTTTTACTAGGAACGACACTTTTTGGAACAACACTGTTTTCATGTATTATCTGAAATTAAAAGGTTTTAATTAGCTATTCGTGTGATTTTGCACTGCATTTACCTTGTTTGATACTTAATCAACTGATCACTGGTTGAGTATTAGACATTTGCTGTCAAGTGGTGCCACGATAGTTTTTGAGAACTGATTACATTTTTATGCAGATCGGGTGACTTGAGTGTTTGACTTTTGTTTTGCAGTTATCCGCTGAGGAGCCTGGAGGTCGACAAGCTCAAGCAAACCGGTTGTTTTTCCTAGTTCCTTCTTCCCTTATATTTTATCCTTAACCTTCATTATAACCTCTACAAACAAAAATCTTCTATTAACATTTTTATTTTCGTTTACCTTGGTCTTTGGCTGTAGCCGAGTGTGTATTTCATTGAATATGTAATCTGCGTTTCTTTTACCTTGCTACAGTCCTCATTTTCTGAAATTTCTCAAATGAAATAGCGGTGGTTTGTTGTTTACTTCAATTGTCACTTTTGTAGAGTGTCCTTTTTATCGACATGTAATGTTGGTTGCGTCTGGTGGAAGGCGCGCACGCGTGACTTTTAACCGGCGTATTTTCCCTTTCTTCGGGTGCTGAGGTTCTTTCCGTTGAAGACTCGATGAAAGCTACATGCCGACGTGAGATAAGTTAAGTGCCAGGAATATTGAAGTCCTTACCGTGGGTTATTTCAATTTTATCGTGCTAAGTTGCAGTAAGAGCATTGTCCGTTTTCAATGACTGCGTGAGACGCTGTAATTATGGAAATTCCACGAAAAACGCTGCGGCGTGCCTTTTCTTAACCTCAACTTGTTTCTACTCGGCATGTATACCTATTAGTGACCATATTTTCCCGGATTTGACGATATTTTCCCGGCTTTGACTACAATTTCCCGATGATGACGAATTCTACCTATTTTGACAAATTATTACCGATTTTGACCGCGTACGCTGCTCAGTGTATGTTTGGGTTTCATCTCCATGCCAGATTATTAAATCTGTAAGTTGTGAACTGTGTTCAGTCAGGGAGTGGTTTTTACAACCTTATTTACTTTTAGGGCATGTACCTTGTAGTAAGATTTTACCAAATATATCTTCCACCCTATTTTGTCACCTTTACCATCAATTCAACCTGATGCCAGATCAGCTGTTCCTCGACACGACTACCTACCGGCCAACACGTTAAACCGATGCTGGAGCTTGTCACCACCAAGGTTCACCACCCGGAGCAGCAACACTTGGAGTCAGGATTATGTTTGTAGAATTTTAGAAACATTTAACATTTAAGGTAACCTTTTTGTCTCGGTCATAGAACCGCTTAATTATTTTTGTTTCGGTCATAGAACCGCTTTACCCATTTTTGTTTCGGTCATAGAACCGCTTTACCCATTTTTTGTTTCGGTCATAGAACCGCTTTACCATTTTTGTTTCGGTCATAGAACCGCTTAATTATTATATGTAAACCATCGATACGTATCGTGAGGTAGTATGCACAACACCTAGTGTTTATTTAGTTTGATTTAATTTTCACATGTTCAATCGAACAATAGTTTGATTTAATTTTCACATGTTCAATCGAACAATGGTTTGATTTAATTTTTACATGTTCAACCGAAACAACAGTCCAATTAAACCCAATTAAATTTTAATAACCTTTTTGTTGAAAACCTTTCAATTTTCAGAATAACTTAAGTTAGGTTAAGTGATCGACCTAATTTTCATGTTTTTAAATGATCACTTGGCGCCCACAAGGTAAGTTGTTGTGTGCTATAAAAATTACCAGAACACATTTTGACACAAACATTAATTTTTCTACAAGAATCCACGGTCATACTTTTGAACCCTGCTCTCCGCAACCTAAACAGTAAAGCTGCCGTCAGCAAAGTAAGTAGAAAAAAAAATACGCCACAATCTAAAGAGTAGAGCATACTATAATTATAGTTGAGAAGCGCCTGATAATGGACCTGCTGAACGGCGCTATGTGTGGCCTTATTAAACAGTTTACCCTCTTGTTCAGGAGCATTTGAAGAGCATTGGGCGACGCGCAAAGCGCTTGTGTGTGTGTGTTGAAACATTGCAGAGCTGGACTTGTTAAGTCGCACCAATAATTTTGTCCAGATGTTGGCGATTTTTTTGGAGGATTGCCAGTATAGATAGAGAAGCGCCAGTGTATATGGTGGGCCTGCTGCATGGCGCTTTCGGTAAGATACATGAACAGTTTAAACTCTTGTTCAGGAGCATATGTGGAGCAAATGGGAGCTAGCGCAAGCGCTTAAGGTGAACAGTTTACCCTCTTGTTCAGGAGCGCTGAAGAGCTTTGGGTGTGAAAGGTAGAAAAATTTGTGAAGCGCAGGAAGTCGCGATCATCCCACGCAGCAGAGCAGAATAGCACAGGGTGTCCGGACAACCCCCATGCGAATTGAGAGCACGTGCAAGCAAGCACTACAGGGTGGACCGTTTATCCTTGTGTCCAGGAGAGTTAAGAGCATTGAGTGAGATGGCTGCCAGGGAAGCATTGGGCAGAAGAACCTCCTAAGATTTGAACGACTCTAAGTCGTGTCCAGAAAAACGTACTGCTTGCGCCGCAGCACGCCGCCCGAATACGTTGCCCGCCGGGAGCCCGCTAGGAGGGGGTCGCAACTTCTCAGTCCTCCCGGCAAAACCAACATAAATACAACTTGCTAAACATACCACTATAATGCCTGTATTTTTTAACTAATTTTATACCGAAAAGTTCAAAACATTCTGCCACAGCGGCAACGCAGGATGTATTGACTAGATTAAACTAGTGTGATAAATTGACTGAATGAGATATAAGATAACCTTGCAAGCAATAACTTATATTTCCAAAAACTAAAACTTTGTTTTTAAAAATTTTATTTTTATTTATTTTATTTATTAGGGTGTATTATAAGGTTTGCTGGCCAAGCTCCTGGGCGCTTGGTTGGCGTTTTTCTGGGAACTGCTATAATACCTCCCTCAGTAGTTCCTAGACTCCGGTGAAGGATTAAATTTGGATTTCGTTGACATCGAACAAGGTTGATTGTAAAGAAGCAATGTTTGTTTCGACATTATTATGTATCCTCGTTGGTTAGATATATTTCTTATAGGCAAAGAAAGTCCTAAATAGAATAATTATGATGTACAAAATTATTGTTCCGGAAAGGTGCCAAGGGTTGTTTCTTTTTAGGGGTTCCAAATATTGTAAGTTGCTGGATAAATCGGTTGTACCAAGATTTTTTAGTTTTAATGGTGGAAGTTCCAAATTTCTTAATTTTGTGGGTAATATGGTGGTTTCTAATATTATTGGCTGTCCTGTTGTACTATCATTGAAAAATAGTAATTGGTCTTCTATGAATATTTCACAGTTGTCTTAATTTTTAAACAAGAATATTCCATTTATTTGTTTGAATTCTTGGGATTGTTGGCAATTAGTTTTAAACGAAATTTTGTTAGGAAACGCTCTAAAATATTGATTAATTTCTGGTATAAATTCTAATATTTTTTCTTCTTTAAGTTGAGTAAAATGGCGTTCAGTGATGTCATTTTTATTAAGTATGTTTTCTTCACATGATATATTTACAAAGGTTTTTAATTTTCCCGAGCAAAAATATTGGTTGGCTAGTTTGTCACAAATAGTCGCTAGGGAAACTAACTCAGATTCAGACTTAATTATATATCTGGTTGATGGAATTATCGTTTGGAAGTTTTTATTTGGGATGGGAATCAAATAATACAATTGAAAAGATTTAGAACAAAGGGATTGTAAGAAAATAGTTTACTTCGTAATTACTTATAAAACATTTGGTTTTTATAATAGATTTATAGTTTTTTATATTATTGACTGAAAATGGAAGTTTATTTTTAAAATAGGACGATATTTTAGAAAGGTCGTTAAATAGGTCTTCGTCAGAGATTATACTTGGGTAAATAATATTTATGTTACAAAATAATAGAGAGTTTTCTATGTTTTGAAATTCATTAAGAACAACGTCAAAAAGGTGAATAAACTGATTTAGGGTATCTTTAGTAAATAGAATATCTGTATGAGAATTTATATCATTAATTATATTTTCTAAAACACTTATTTTGAAGATAATAACTTGTTCGTTGTGCTGTACGTCGTTAGCGGTTTTATTAAATTTACTTATAATTTGTTTATTAATAGAGAATTGCTTATTAATTTGTTGTATTAGATTATTTTCAGTTTGTTTAATTAAATCAAGTGAATATTTGATTTGTTTGTCATCTTCGGAATCCATGTTACCAGTTATTTGTTTAATTTAGATGCCTAATACGTTAATTAGTCCCCTTTTCGATCGTTGGGAGTTTGAAAATAATGTTAATTTTTGACTAATAACGTTAATTTTATAATTAATGATTTTAAAATAGTTTTGCATTTCCTTTTGATATATTTTACTTTTATCGGTTATATTTACAATGATTTGATATTGATTTGATAAAGTTTTAAAATTATTTACTAAAGAAGTTAAATCGAGATAATGTATGAAAGTGTGTGAAAAATTATGTAACTTGGCTTCTCCCAGTTTTATCGGTAGAATACCGGGGTTATTTGATATGTCTCTTTGAGATAGTACTATTGCGGTCCATTGGACGAAGAAGTACCTGGAACAGGAGAATTATTTTTAGTGGGATGTGTAATTTTGTATATTTTCGACCAGTTTTGGATTCTGTAATTTTTGGTTTAAAAGTTTTACGCGCTGGGTTAGTTGACACAACAGTCTCTTTTTTATATTTGTTTCTCTGTTTAGATCTAAAATTACTTTTTACAAAGATTTTTTGGGGTATTTCCGAGATTTCTTCGCGATTTTTATTCAATTTGCTTATTGTTTTAATTTTGTTTTCAGAAAATCGACTATTTATAACTTTATTTAGGGTTTTTATTTTTTCCTTATGGCTATATATATAATTATTAAGAATTTTGGCTTCTAAATCAAGGTCTAAAATGTTTTGCATGTCGTAATTTAAAATTTCGAAAGGCGACATTTTTGTAGACGAGTGAATCGAAGTATTATGGGCTATTGTAGCAAAAATGCTTTCAAATTCTGGACCATTATCGCAGATAATTAAACCGGGGATTGAATGGTGGGAAAAGAAGATTAGTAATTTTTCCATAATTTCAATAGTTTGTATTGTATCTAATGAATATACTTGGGCATATTTAGAAAATGCATCTATTATAGTTAAAAATTTAACATGTTCGTATTTTAAGACATCTATATGTATAATTTCAAATGGTTTAGTTGGCGTTGGCGTGATATTAAATTTCAACCTAAGAGGTTTACGATCGTACTTGACGACATTACAAACGTCGCAATTGTTTATAAAATTTTGGATGGATTTTTGCATATTAGGCAAATATTATGAAGCTGAAGTTTTAAAAGAGTTTCATTTATTCCATTTCATTTACCTTCGTGATAATTTTGTATGTGTTCGACCTGTTCGTCAGTTGATTCTACGTCTTCGAGTATTTTATTACATTTTTTAAATTTTATTGAAGTATTGAAGTGGTTGTGTAAAATTGAATTGAGTAGCTTGTAGTGGTTAACGTCATCAAAATAACAGGAATATTTTACATTTGGGGTTATATATTCTTTTATGAAATTTATTAAATCATTTTCTGTGTAGTCAGATAAAATTTGAGTAGTAATGCGTTGTTTACTGTTATTAAATAAACGTGTTATAATAGGTCACGTTGGACAGGTTTTAACTGAGATGAAATGAATTTGATTTGTGCCTAAATTTAAACTATCTTCTGAAATCGGAATGTTACAAACAGGGGATTCTAGGCTAGTATTAACAGTCATATTGTCATCGTCTAATATTTCTTCGTTATCGTCAGGTGTTTCTGCTAAATGTTGTCAACAGAGATATTTTGGTTAAAATTGTCCATGTACTGAAATATAGGATTTTTTGGAGGGTCGGTTTTTTGGGTTTTATTGGATCTTGTTTCCATGACATTAAAATTTTTTGGGGGACGTGAGAGAGCATCGGCGTTACTATTTAATTTGCATTTTTTATATAAAATTTCAAAGTCGTACTCTTCTAATCGTAATCGCCATCTGATTAATTTAGAATTTGGTTCTTTAAGCTGGAAAATCCATTGTAGAGGTTTATGATCGGTCAATATTTTAAATTTTCTGCCGTATAAATACGGACGGATGTATTTAGTAGCCCATGTGCACACGATGGCTAAAAGTTCTTTTTCTATTACGCTGTAGTTAAGTTCATGTTCGTTTAATGTTCGAGAAGCATATGCGCACGGAAGGTCCGATCCGATTGGTCCTTGGCTTAAAACGGCACCAATTGCATAATTTGATGCATCGGTGGTTTAAATAAACTGATCTTCAAAATTTGGGTATTTAAGGATTGGCTCATTACATAAAAGACGTTTGCATGTATTAAAACAATTTTTGTACCCGGGATCATTGATGTTGATAGAGGCATCTTTTTTTAGGCAACTAGTTAAAGGTTTGGTTATTTTCGCGAAATCCTTTATAAATTTACGGTAATTTTTTTAATAATAATAATAATAATAATAATAATAATAATAGGTATTTATTGCCCAACAGTACATACCATAAATGGACATTCATAATATATAATATATATTATAATAGTGTTATAATATATATTATAATAGTGTTTACTTACAAATACTAGCTTATAAATAAATAATACAAATAAGTTAAAAACAATATATAAATAATTAAAAATATAAATAGTTAACAATTTTTACAATTAACAATATAAAACACTAGGATAAACAATTTTTTATAAAGCTTAAGGAAGAAAAATTTATATCACAGGAAGTAGAAATACAATTGAATATATTGCACATAACATATAAAGGAGATTTTTTAAGTGTGTTTGTACGAGCAAAGGGACATCTAAACGTTATACATTGTCGGCTATTACAACGAGGAATATTAAAGCACAATTGGTAGTACCCTAATAGGCCCAAACATCCTTTTAACTGTTTGGGGGTTTTTGGAATTGGGTATTCGGTTATTGCTTTTATCTTATCAGGGTTTGGTTTTATGCCTTCGGTGGTTATTACGTGTCCTAAATAATTTACTTGTTTATGCAAGAATTCGCTTTTATCAAGTTGAATTTTAAAGTTAAATTCGCGTAGACGCTCAAACACTAACTTAAGTCTATGGATATGTTCTTGTAAGGAGGTGGAAAAAAATATTATATCGTCTAAGTAAACGAAACAGGCTTTATTTTGGATTCCTCTAAGCACATTATCCATCACATTTATGTATGTATGGGTATCTGTATGTTTTAAAGTATTAAATTTATTTTCAGAATCCTTAGTACTAACCCTTAAATCTACAAAAGGCATACGAATGAATTCGCAATGGCCGTTTTCGACCGTAAAAGCGGTTTTTTTGTATCTTTCTGGTCAACTTCTATTTGGTGGAAACCAGAAGCGAGATCAAGTGTGGTGAAGTATTGACTTTTACCGAGTTTATCCAAAATGTCGTTGATGTTAGGTATAGGATATCTATCATCTACAGTTTGCTTGTTTAATTTGCGATAGTCTACAACAACTCTCCACTTCTGTTTACCGGAAGCGTCTTGGTACCACCCAAATAGGGGCTGACCATGGAGATTTGGAAGGTTTTATAATGCCTTGTTTAAGCATGTTTTCTATTTGC